CACATAACTGCTGTATTGAAGTCACAACCATGCTTATCCCCTTCTCCCCTCCATTTTGACTGCATTTGGAAAGAGAACATGGTTCCCTGGGTACGAATGACACAAAATGCCAGTCCTTCACTCATCCTTTCAACACACGTGGCAGCACTGCTTTGACGATGCATCTGCCTTGGCCTGCAGCTCACCTGGTATTGGCTGTTGTGCAAGTGCTTCCTGGAAACCCTGCAGTGTTTTTCCTCTGAAGCCGGCAGGGGCTGAAATTGGGTCAGGTTCTGAATGCAGATCACTGTAGGGTGAGGGTAGCTGGCTGAGCCAGTGCAGCTCTAATGCTTGCCTTTTCTTTCCCATGCATCACTGATCTGTACTGGAGCGGTGTCCCAAGCTCTCTGGGCAGCCAGGTGAGGAGTAGGTAGGGAGGTCTCAGTTTCAGGGAGTTTATGCTTGATGCCATTTGGGTTACAGGGATGGGAGCTAAAGCCCCACTGGCTACCTGGAAGCCTCATCCAGCCATTGCCACCTGCATTGCCCACATACCTGGGACAGCCCTGGCTGCTCACAGGACAGACCGTGCAAACATTGTAGACAAAATGTGCTCCAAGCTGTAACTTATTGCAACACTTTTGGGGTTATAACTTAGATGTGCATTGTGAAAAACAGGCAGCAGAAGGGGTGAGAAATCAAACCCCCTGTGAGTGCCCGAGTGGCTCCTGGATACTCTAATAGCCTCTTCACCTTACTGCACTACTCCCAGTGACCTTGACTTCAGCAAGAAGGCTGACAGCTTAAGTGAAGCACAGACTAGCAGTGATCAGGTGTCAAGTTCCAGTCAGTGACTGCCTGCGGGATGAGCAAAACGACTTTTAATCCTCAGTGGTTCACATCTCACTTGCAATGGGCCCAAATTAGCTGTTTGGTTATGGGGCTGAGACCTAAATAGGTGACTGAAACTGCTCTAACCCAAGAGAAAGAGCAAGAATTTGGGAGGCTCTGGCATAACTGCTTGACCTGCCACAAACCCGTCACACAACCATGCCCGAGTCACCCAGTTTTAGCCCTTCACATTGCTTCCCTGAAATCGGGGCAAGCACAGCAGGCTGCTGGGGGTTGGTACTCTGAGGTCTGTAAGAAGTTTGGCCATTGTAGGTGACACGTGCCCCAGAAAGGTCCACAAGAAAGAACTGTCTAGAATTAACACCTGCCCCTTTCCTTCAGCACTTCACATGTATGGGTGCAAAGTCCCAGTTCACCCAGAATGAATGCAGGACAGGGACATTTGCTCCAGCCCTGCCTGTTTCCCATATCCTGTGGATAAGAAAAAACTTCAGGCACCGGGGTTGGGTACAAGTTACCCTCATCAATGCTAAATTCACTTTAAAAGCAGTATCATCAGTTTTTTTCTCACCTCCTCCCTCCCCACAAGTGCATGAAGTGTCTTTCAGGTAAAAGACCATGCCCAAGGATTCTTTGAGATGTTAGCAAAGGAAATCTTCGGTTAGAGAAAGCTGCTGTTGTTAGGACAACATGTATCATAAACCCTGCCATTGCTGCATACTCCCTGCCTGGTCCCAACCACTCTCCTTATGCTTCACGGCCTCTCTCCCACTTGACAGGCTGCAAATGAGGTCAAATGCTCTGGAAATGGTTTGTGGTACTCTTTTCTGTATATAATAAAAAGCCCAAATGAAAGCATTTCTCAAGTCAGCACTATGTGAGCAAAGATGCCTAAACTGAAGTTTTGAATTAAAGGTGGTGTTGATCAAACTGCTACAGTTGACTGACTTTGCATGAACAAATCAGTCCATGAGTCAGTGAGTCATTCATCTCTGCAAGGACTGAGATGCCCTCCTCTCACCCATCTGAATAGCAGATCTGGTTAATGACAATACATGACTTACATTTGCATCATGCATCCATTCCATAGCAGCTTTTTAGCTGCAAATAGCAAAACTACATGTCTGGCCCTGTGCTGCTGCCTGGTGAAGGAGAAGGCTGTATATAACCTATCAGATATGCAACTAGAGGGCACAGTAAAATTGAGGGAAGGGAAACTAAGTCATAACATCTGGGACATACCAAAGGTGTACTGCTAACAAACTGCAAAGAAAAATTAAATCCATGTGATTAGAACCAGCGCACAACGTATCCAGATCTCATGATTACATATCTCACTGAAGACATGGCCAGCAGCAGGTTTTTCTGGCAGTGGGGGCCTTTCCTGCTTCAGATATGAGATTGCCACCTACTGACCAATTGTCCTTACTTGGGGCAATACCCTAGAACCCGACCCTCTATTCTCCCCTTATCAGAAAGACTCCACTACATTTAGTTTGTGCTATCTGATCAGATTGCAAACAGAGGTCATATAACTGTACAGACCATTAAGCACCTATTCACTTGGGCAGAAGTAAATGACTCCATTTTACTGAAGTACTACTACTCACACAGTTCACCTTAAGCACAGGGACATTATCTCAGCAAGGCAATGAAGGCAATAAAAATGCAATCTGCCCAAGACATGGTTCTTGCTGGGGAGATCTGGATATGGAAAGTTTTTCCAGGTCTTTCCAGATCTGTGCTGCTTAGTGTGTAATGGGAACACCTTGCAAGCAGCTAAATTTATGTGTCTGGGACTGGAATATTTGGACACATGTTGGTTTGTGGTACCCTGCCCCTATCTGCCAGATGCAGAGAGAAGGCTTTTAGATGACTTCTCATCCAAATGCATGTGAAAAAGTATCCCTGCTGGAAACCTCTCACTGTAGCACAGTTCTGTTTGTGCTGGAAAACCCAGCTATCACCACCCAACAAAGCAGCAGAGTGCTCTTGGAGGGGTTCTTCTCAGCAAATGTCCAAAAATAGCAGATATTGCAGAAGGGTAGAAGGTCACGTAACACCCATGCTACAACACTCTTCTGAGTGCTGTTCATTACCTACGACAAGCCAGCCACTCCTTTTCTTGTTGCTTGCTAGGCAGTTTCTAATTCACATAGTCTTTCTTTAGCTGCTGTTTTGCTGAGTATCTCACACATTTTTTGAGGCCCAGTTTTCCTTCACAGAGCTGGGATAGCCACATTGGACTAAAATCTGCGCATTTCCGAGTTTTCTCTCTCATTTCAGTTACAGCCTCTGCCTCTGACTCAGACTGGTGTTTCTGATAGGATCTCAGAGAGGGAGGAAACAAGAATAAATAGCATCACGCCCTCCTCACGTGGGTTGTGGTGCAGAGCTGAAACAGAAGATGAGGAAGAGCCTGGGCTGGAGAGGGAGGGGGCTCAGCTGAAACTAACCCACATTTTGAGGATTCCTCCGCTCTAATGGGGCACTGAAGCAAGGGTATTACCAGCCTCTCCTTCCCTCATACCGGTACCCAAACTGGCTATTACTAGTTCTTAACTATCAGAAGCATGAGCTGTCTGTCTTAACCTCCCAGACCTGGCAACAAAGCTGCCTTAAGAGGCAATTAATGCTGCCGGGCAAGATGAGGGGAGGTTAGCATGGTAAAGGTCACGGACACTCAGGAGCCCCGGCCAAGGGTGACGCTGTGTGTGCTTCTCTCCAGGGAGCAGCATTAAGGAGAAGTCAAGCACAGGCCACTTTGAAAGTGTAACACTTTGAAACAGTGGCGGAAAGCTAAATAACTTTACTGGCATGGAGGGATAGAGAGTTTAAGCATTTTGACAGTAAACAACTTTTCCTCTGACCTGATTCAAAGCCTGGTCTGGTGAGATTCAGTGGTGACTCAGCCTCAGAGAACTGATTAGTACTCTACATGCCAGGATATGCTGGCCTCAATTTGGTTCTTTGGAGATACCTGCACGATGAAGAGTTCTTTATAACTGGCACATATTGAGAGTTTTAGGAGGCCACTAGGCTGAAACTGAGACAGCCACTTACTAATACAGTCAGTACCTTTCAGCCAGAAAGGCCAGATGGTATCCAAACCCAGGATTTCTTGGTATCCAAACAGGGTCAAACTGGAATGAGAAGACACATACACAGAGTTTTGTGAAGCTCCCCTTAGAAAGGCCCCGTATGCCTGTGGATGTCCTCAAAACATTATCAAATGCTTTTATTAGGTACCTACAACTTAGTTCCTTCACTCCTCAGGATGCTGCAACTTTTAATAAAATGTTAACTTACTGGTTGCACAGTTTCAAATCTCATTCTTTGCCTCCACCAAACAAGGCACAGCTACCGGGGCAGTGGTGTAGCTAGCAAACCTCAGTACTGCATTTGCAGTTCATTTTCTCAGACAGTAATAATAAACCACACCAGTAAAAAGCCTCCTGCTGCTGCTTTTGCCTCTTATCACTGCATTTACAGTAAAGCTTGTGCTGATTGCAGTAGACTGGTGGAAGGTGAGGGAGAGAAAAGGTATTTTCCGCATTCTTAATAGCTCTATAATTTCCTAGTACAAGATAAGGCTAGGTTGTGTCATTGATCCCTGTAACACAGGACATCCCAGGGCAGATAGGAGGTACATAGAGGCAGGCAGCCCATTCTGGGTGAGGGACAGAGCCTCACAGAAGAAAGGAGAGCAAAAGCTCACACAGGACTGAATCCAGACCAGGAGATTACTTTTCTCTTTTCAGCAGGGCTATTACGGTGGAGATGAGCTCTAGTATGAGGCAGAAACATCTGTTTTTAACAGTGTGTGTTCATTAATATCTCTTCAATTGAAAGGACAAAATAAGCAGTTGGAAGGAAATAAAGTCCAAGCAACTTTCTCTAAGAACTCAAAGACTTCATGATCAACATCCCAAGTCCACCACGAAAGACATCCAAGAAACAGACTCAGTGTTTGTGAAAGTTCTAAAAATAGTAAATTATTTTCAAAACCCTAAACATTTTCTATAAACATTCCTATATACCCTAATACAACAAAACAAGAGGAAATTTCTTCTTGTTTCCAGATGACAATTCTTTCTCAAAAGGGGAATGAAACAAGGAGAGGAAAATGAAATACTGTACACTGGGAAACACTGAATGTTAATATTTACCTGTCTTGTTACATCTTTTTTCTATTGATACTTGTTGACATGTGGGCCTCTTTCTGGTTAGCTGGTTTCTGCCTGAGTTCATGCATAGGAGAACTTGACTCTTGATTTGGAAGGTACAACTGTAGTGTATTCTAATTTTCCCAAGGCCAACCTGGGGGAAAAGAAAAGGAACAATGTGTCACTTCACACCTTCACCTCATTCTTCTTGGGCTTTTGCTATCTCAGCCTGTTGCACGTCACAGTTTGAATAACACTGCCTGGCAGCCCAGAGCAGCTATGCCAGGCACATGTTCCCAAAGGGATTTTCCCTCTGCTCTTACGTGAGCATCTGGGTGCCTCTTGGTTTACATAACTCTGAAAAACATCTGGGGTTACAAATTCCTAATACCTCAATTTGTTATGGAAATAAAACATGCTTGTAGGATAAAGATGCTGTTTGCAGGTTACACCACTTGTTGAGTCAGAGGGAGGAGGAAGAGAGGAGAGGTCGGGTTAATGTACGCTATTCTCTGTCCCAATTCTTTTGATAATGGTTCCAGGCAGCTGATTGTGCCCTTCCTGAAGTACACAGAAAGTGCCAGAAGGCTGCTTTCTGCCAGCCGAGCTGAGGGTCAGGCTCTCTGCACAACTGAGTGCAAAGGAGGGCACGTTTCAGAGAAGTATTTTTAGTGCAGGGGAGATGATGGACCTGGAAAGGGAAGGCACTTCTCCAAGCCTGAGTTGGGCAAGTGCAGGGTGTCTGCCAACCCTGTCCCTCTGCCAAAGCACTGCCAACCTGGAAAAAAGACGCTTCTTACAGAGGTGAGCGAGCTGTTCGCCTGACTTCCCGGGCTCCCCCTTCCCTAACATCTCTCCTCACTGGTGCAAATTGCCCTGCCAGTTTTTCAGCCACAATCTCCCGCCTGGCAGGAATCCAACCCAGCCCAGCTAAGCAGGAGGCACCTCTGCACCCCCGAGCCGTGGGCAGCCCCCCTTGCTGTTCCCTTGCCAGCCCATGCCTGGTTTGAACCAGAAACCCAGCTGAGAATCACAGACTAGCATCAACCCTTCCCAGGAAAAGAGGTTGTTTGTTTTCTTTTTAATACAGTTTCTATTGTTCAGGAGATTAAGGATGTAGTGGAGGCTTGTGGCATTTTTCCTCTGGGATCTAATTACGGAGGAAGAAAAATGAATTTGTATATTTATTAACTCTTCCAAATCCAAAATAAGACATAGGAAAGGCCCCAGCAGAGGCATATTTAGCCATTGCCCATCTTCTGACTGTGTCTCCTACCACATATCCAAGAATGTGGTAAGACATAGAAAAATACACTGATAGTTGTTGGAAGCACCCAGTGAACCTCCAGCACTCCCCCGTGCCAGTGGCAGTTTGCCAGTAACTGGATGATAGATGTTACCTAAAAATCTGCATACTTTTATACAGGAAAGCTGTGCAATATTTTCCTTAAAGCTGCAATTCCGGGTATCAGGGGGTTGCATAGGTACTTCGATCAAGTGGAAATGGGATTTGAGCTGTCATGACTGCGTAGAAAATCCTGAAAACAGAAAGTCTCTGTACACCAAAGTCACCCATATTAAGAGGGCATAAAAAGAGGATTTTTTTCCTATTTATTTATTTATTTATTTAATAATTTGATTTCTAAATTCTGAAGGCCTCTTCCTTGATGAATAAACAGCTGAGATTAGTAGCAGTGCACTCAAATATTTTTTCTTTGCACAAATATAAGCATATTTCTTCAATTTAAGGCACCTTGGCTCTCTTCTTTTCAGAGACAGCAAGCACACAGCACTCCTATGATCTCCATTAAGCCCTCTGCCTACCCCAACAAGAGTCTGAAAACACTCATATTTAAAAGCAGGTCCAGTAAAAAAAAAAAAAGAAAAACATCCTGAAGGCCACCTGCAGATGTATGTAAACTCAGCTAGAAGAAATGCTGCTGATGGGCTGTGCATTAAATTTCTGTTTCATGGCCACTGGTACACCTTAGCTAGCCAGCTCACTACTTATAAAACAAGATTAGATATAAAATGCAAAATCTTTACAGAGAAGACTGCAATAAACCTGATTTCTCATGCACCTTGAACCATCGTATCTGCACTCTGTACCAACTCCAGGAAGGGCCGCTAACATCGTAAATATTTTGATTAACACAAACGAATGCTTAGAAAGAAGCAGTTGGCCACAGAAGTTTCCTTTGTGTTCCTCTTGCTAATCACACTGACGCATAGTGTTTGATCTCCTTCGACTAGCTGGTTTAGGGTACTTATTCCTGTGAGAATACAAAAGCGGCTTCTGTTCTGAGGACTATGCTTTTGAGATCACAGACTACAAAACTATCAGTCACAGAATGAGATATTGTACAGGAAATTGGTACTAGTATTTACTTTTCTTCTCCTATAGCCTTAGATTTACCTGAGGGATTTTTTTTTTAAAAAAAAGATAATAAATCACAACAATGTGTTTAGGAGTGCTCTAAAGTAACCTGTGATAGAGAACACATGCTACTGTACCAGCTAGAGATTCACTGATACACAGTTGAGATGAGTTATGTAAATTATTTCCCATTTTGCCATTTCTGAATGATGCAGTTACTTCCTGGCCCACTCTTAGATACCAGGACATACTAGCTTTTAGATACCTGAATATAATCACACATTTTTTTCAGAGTGGTTTCCTTTACTTTAAAATACATCTGGTTGGACAAGCACTGGTTGAAATGGCTTAGTTCTTCCTGTAGATTTTGAGGTGGGCACCTTTCTCTGCAACTGGGCTATTAGAAACCAAATAATCCCTGGAACTCAGTGATACAGATAGGGATCATGAGCAGAACAAAGAATTTTTCCAATCTTAAAATCATTACATTCAGGATTCATTAATGCCTGAGGTTTATATTGCCCTGTATTTAAATCTTAACCATGACCTCTTCCAAAACATGGCCAAAGTAAATGAGGTTACCCCCCTCTGCCAAAAAGATGTGACATAAAATTTGAATGTTCCTTAGCTTAATTAATCTGAAGAGCAAGCTTTTCCCTTTCTAATTACATTGCCCAACTCTAGTTTTGCAAATTGCTGTTTAGATAAACTAATTTGTGTGCATATGTGTGCAGTGTCAAGAACTATAGAAAGAACTAAAGTTCTTCTTTCATTAAATTCTAGAAATTAGCTTTTGCTATTTTATTCTAGAAAATCCTGTAAAACAACAATCTCGTAGTGAAGAAAAGGAAAGAACATGTATTCAAATAAATGCAGTCTTAATAAATTATTTGTGAGCATAAATACTTAAAAAATCTACAAGTATTTTCTGTATAAATGTGATACACAGGCAAATGAAAGAACACCAATTCGTCATTATCTGACACAACCTTATGCAACAGTACCCTCGGCTAATCATATAGGAAGAGATCAGAAAGGAAGAGGTTAAACTTTTAATTGGTTATTTACTGTTTCAATTCCAGGCAGCATTTATGTTTCTGCATAACACTGGAATGGCTTAGGAATAATAGTGGGTGTGCTGACTGTAAATAAGCTGCAAGCTACAAGCCTATGAACAAGCCGTGATCTGATGTAATAAATCACAAGTCAGACGCTCTTGTGGTTTGTGACATCACGAGCACTCAAAGTGCTATTTATAAGCTCTATCATGCACTGTCCAAGATTATTGCCAGTTCAGAAATTAAAATGTTTAGGATTCTTTTCGTATGGTCTTTCTTAGATAGGGTGACCTATTTGCAGCAAATTTAAGCCAACACAAAGACAGGATTGCTTGGGGCCACAGGTCAGGTGAGGCCAGGCACTTGCATTCGAGGGAACCTAGTGGTGTTGAGTACACAGGAGTTGTGCTGCTGAGCTGACTATCACCATGGCTCTTTCAAAAGCAGTTTTTCTTCCAGCTTCACTAAGGTGACCTAAAACTCCAATAGGGAAATATTTGAAGAGTGCAGAGAGAAAAACACTGAAGGTCAATGAGAAAGCAGCAGAAAATGATCTGAAGGGATACAAGGCTGGTACTGCCCTGTGATCAGGTGGCACAGTTTGCAAACATCACCACCCATGACACTGGTGTGGTGACTCTTCAGGAGGAAGACGGTAACAATCCAGTTCTTTGGCATAGTACAGAGTTAAATGGTTTTGCCTACATCTGCTTTGGTTGTAGAACCTTATATTTCTTTAATACAACTACAAAAGCAGGTGAAGCACCACTGTAATTCAGGGAAACGCTGAGCTTTCTTTCCTACGTATTAGATACAACCGTATGAGTAGCAAAGATTTGTCTGCTTCTACTGATGGCCTTATTCAGATCGGGATCAAATTATTTCCAGGATCGGTCCCTTCCACAGAGATCAGGGCAGCAGTGGGGCAGCAGCGGAGCAGTGTGGTGTAGCTGCTGGCACAAAGGCACTTCCAAGATGGCTGCAGAAAGTTGCTTCATGTGTGCAAGGTGTCAGAGAGCAAGAAACCACAAACATTTCTAATCTGTCCAAAGAGAGACACTGCAAAACCCTCAGGCATAATCACTGATTCATAAAACTGATGACAGGAAAAGAGAGTTAAGCTAGAAGGAAAGAGAGTAAAAGCAAGCCCAGAGGCTTATAACTATTTAATTCAATCAGGAGAAGGTAACAATCGTTTAGTTAAAAGCAGCGTCCCTGTTTAATTACTGCAATTATGCTGAAATATATTATTTTGTCACCAAATTGACTGCAACTTTCCTCAGTGCTTAATGCATTTATGCTGCTAAGCAGCACACAGCCTCAACACATCACCAGGTGCTCCTCCCCATCTGTTGTCCCAGCCCACCTCCGAGGTCTCACCTCCTCTGGAGGACTCTCACAATGGTCAACACGTTGCTCTGGCTAGACTTGGTTAAAAAGTGCTGTTTGAAAATGCTTTAGGGGAAGTAGGTGGCCTTCCTGATACCATGTTGCATGACGGTTTACAACATAGTTTATTGCCGCCACTGCTCCAACAGGGGTGATCTACTGTTAACAGCAAGGTAATCTTTGGGCACCTCCCTCCCTCTCCCTCTACAGCTGGGGGAATGTGGACGTCCCCAGGTGCAAATATCTCCTGTGCTACCTTACTGGACTGGAAGACCAATGTACGCATATTTTGTTTATGTCCAATTTTTGCAAGAACTGAGCCTGTCAGCA